TACAGGGGGCTGGAGAGATGGCTCAGTGGTTAAGAGCACTGGCTGCTCTTGCAGAAGACCCAGGTTTGAATCCCAGCACCAGGGGATCCAATGCCCTCTTCTGTTCTCCAAGGGCACTGCACGACACATGTGTACTTACATACATGCAGGCATAACACTCATGGAATAAAAATAAATCAAAACATTAAATAAATCAAATTTAGGATGCAAACACTTCGGTGTCAGCTTATATAGTACACCATTCTGGAAACATGATTTGTAAAGAAATATGTGGGCTCCAGCATTGCTCAGCGGTGCTGTGGGTACAGAAGCTGAAAGGCTTTGAGACAGGACTCAGGAAAGGGAAGCTACCTGTGCATCAGCCTCTCTGGCCTCAGGGAGGAGGATTTGGGATAGAGGCTAAAGAAGTGCCTTTGAGCAAGCTAAGAGGCACTGCAGAAAGAAGACACAGAACTAGAGAATTCACCAGGCAGAACTGTGGCAAGAAAATGTAGCAGCCTTAGCTCCAGCACCCATGACCAAGGATTAAAATGATTTTTCAAGTAGTGAGTTATTTTATTTTGCCTTTATTTTTATTTATTTTTTTGTCTTTTTAGACAGGGTCTCCCTGTAGCCTCAGCTAGCCTGGAGCTCACTATGTAGACCAGGCTGGCCTTGAACTCACAGAGATCTGCCTACCTCTGCCTGGAATTAAAGGCACCACCCCCACTGAGTTGTTTATTTTTTAATGATGAATAATGAGAAATATTTGCATGACCAAAGATAACTTGATAAGCAACACTCAGGTTCCTGGCTGTATCATTCAGCCATTCAAAAATACAGAGAGCTTACAAGGTGTCTGGAATTGTAGGGAATAAAAATAGAATTGTGAATAAGATAGGTATGGCTCCTTTCAGGGAACTTATAATCTAGGAAGAGAAAGAAAAACATGCAAATAAAGCAGGAAGAAGCTGTACAGAATGCCTGCAACAAAATGTAAACTAAAACACTGGGGTTGCTACCACATGCATGAGAGCCGGTGGAGTACTGACACCACATGCTAGCAGTTATGTGAAACAACACAGCTCATTCAGAAATGGCGGCACAGCCACTTTGGAAGACGGTAGTGTCTGATACAATTTTCCTCCAAACAATTCAGCAGTCACATTCCTTGATATTTTCTAAAAGGGGTAGAAAACATATGTACACAAAATCTTGTGCACAGATGTGTATAGCAGATTTATTCTTAACTTCTCAATTTTAGAAACAACCAAATGTCCCTTAGTGAATGAATGGATAAACTATGCTGCATCCAGATTATTGAAAAATTATTCTGTGTTAAGAGGAAATGAACTGGGGCTGGAGAAATGGCTCAGCAGTTAAGAGCACTGACTGCTCTTGCAGAGGATCCAGGTTCAAGTCCCAGCACCCACATGGAGGCTAAGAACTATCCTTAACTCCATTTCCAGGGGATCCAACCTCTTCTGACCTCCTAAGTGTTGCACGACATGGGTGCACATGCAGGCGATACACTCATCACATAAAAGATTTTTTTAAAAAAGAAATGAACTATTTACCAGATCATGAAAATATACACAAAGAATTTAAATGCATATTACTAAGTGGAAAAAGCCAATCTGAAAAGGTTATATACTGAATTACTCCAAGTATTTGACATTCTGGGAAGGGGGCGTAAATCTGTGCAGATAATAGAAAGAGGGACTATTGATGGCTGCTGGGAGAGGAAGCCTAAGTTTTCTTCTACGTGGCCTCTGATAGGCTGACCATATTCAGTGGATGGCCCTATACCCACGCACATACTGGCATCACTAAGTGGACTTGGTGAAGACGTGGAGGCTGGTTAACAGCACTGGCTGCCCTTGCAAAGGAACCCGGTTTGGTACCGAGCATCTTCACTGTGGCTAGTAACTTTCCAAGGGATCTGATGCCCTCGTCTGGCGTCCGTAGGTATTGCATGCATGGTGCACTTAAATGCAGACAAAACACTCATGCACGTAAAACTAAAACATATTTTTTAAAAAAAAGAGAGGGGGGGGGACTGGAGAGATGGCTCAGCAGTTAAGAACACTGTTCTTGCAGAAGACCAGGGTTCGAATCCCAGCACCCACATGGCAGCTAACAACTGTCTGTAACTCCAGTCGCAGGAGATCTGACAGCCTCTTCTGTCCTCCACGGGCATTGCACGACACGGGTGCACATGCCTACATACAGGCAATACATGCATACACACAAAATAATAAATAAAATATTTAAAATATTTTTAAAAAGAGAGAGAGAGAACGTGAATTTGGAAAGGAAAAGTGGTGGATGATAGGAGTTAGAGGAGAGGAGGGAGGAGGGGGACTTGATAAAATACATTATAATTATGTAAAAATTCTCAATTTAAAAAAAAGATCAAGGGGAACAGGGAAGATAGGAATAGACAGGCAGATATAGAAGACTTTTAAGACAGTGCAGTGCTTTTACAACTCCATAATGTTAGATATATTCTAGTATGTGTTTCTCAAAACCCATAGAATGTGCGACACTAAGAAAGAACCCTAAACCAAGGGTGAACTTTGGGTGAAAAGTCCATCATTTGAAATGCACATATCTCTGCTGCAGAGTGATGATAAGAAGGGAGGCAATGCCATGAGAATGCAAGGAGTACATGGGTGGATGGATAGATCTCTACCTCCACCCCGCTTTTCTATGAGACCAAACCTGTTTTTAAGATAGTCTATTAAATATAAAATAAAAGGCAAAACAAAAGAAGAGTATTGTTTTCTAGGGTAGCCATAACAAAATAGCATGCACTGGGAAGTTTAGAACTTAACAACAGATACTTTGTCATCACTTCTCTGACCTTCAGCTAACATCAAATATAAGTATTTTATCAGAATCTGGAGGCTACAACTCCAAGATCAAGGTGTCATCGAGACTGATTTCTTTTGAGGCCTCTCACATTGGCTTATAAAAAGCCTTCTAATTGTGTCTTCTATGTATGTGTGTCTGTGCCCTAATCTCTTCTTTTTTAAATTGTTTGTGTGTGTGCGCGCACCTGTGGGGGGTGCACACACCCATAGGTGCACAGAGGCTGGAGGAGGACACTGGGTGTCATGCTCTTTCACCTTCTGCCTTATTCCCTTGAGACAGGATCTCACTGAACCTGAAGCTAGACTGTTGACCAGCAAGTCCCAGTCATCTTCCTGTCTCTGGCTACCACAGCACTGGCGCTGCAGGTGCATATATGGCTAAACCCAGTTTGTTTTAATTTTTAATAACTACATGATTAGAAGAAGCATTCACTACAGATTTAACATATTTAGTAACACACTCCAGAGCAAGACTACATCTCTTTCACAAGTGGGTGCAACTTTCTAGGTTCCACTGTTGAGTTAATACAATTATACAATATTGAACTCAGTGTAAGCCCTGTAAGATATAAAATTGGATGTTTTTAAACCTTTAAGAAAGATCTCCATTTCATTTTAGAATACATTGTTCCTTGCAGAAAGACTCATTGGTTTTGCTACTAACACTGACATGTTGGCACATGCATCTCTAATCTGTATGTATCTGATTATTACTAGTCATAATCGGTTGCACTCAGATCTTTGCCACCTGTG